TGTGGGGAGAATAGGGTTGTCTCCCCCAAAATATATGTACATATATAAATATTGAGGAAAACTCACTTTCCCCACTTTAAGCTTCACATGGTAGAGCGTAATGTAATGTAATGTAATGTAATGTAATGTAATGTAATGTAATGTAATGTAATGTAAGCCTGTATAGTGGTAGAGTTACAGGAACAGCTACCCCACCAAGATGGTGATGAAAGAAAGGAGACCATGAGAGCTGTGGTAGAGTTCAGCATCTAAACCACAAAGGTATTTCACTTTGGTCTTTCCAAATTTCCCAATTTCCCCCCTATGGGTTGGAACCAGAAGGTGCTTTCTGTGGACTGAAGCATTCATTCTACATGCATCAGATCCAGTGGAGATTCTCACTGGAGAAACAGGCTTTTCCCAATTCCTTTTCCCCACTGCAGCTTCCAGCTTTGCAGGAGGAATCGGCAGAAATCACATTGTCTCCTGTCCATTTTTCCTGTGGAAGCATCCCATGAGCAAAGTTCTGCTGCCAGATTCTGAGTCCAAACCCATTCCATCACAAAGAGTGAATATTCCCTAAATTTGGAGCACTTAAAAAGCAGCATTTAATTGAAAGCATTGGAGAATGTGGTGTTCAAAAAGCAAATTGCACAATATTGTTTCCTAATTGTTCCTAATATATTGGCTGAAAGTGGAGCAGGAAATTTTTGGTACATTGCTGTCAATTCCAAAACAGCCGGTTCTCCCCGCCTCCCGCCCATTGGCTTGGTTTGAAAACGGGCCTAAGCCCTCGCTTTTTAAAAACAACACAGGAATGGACCATGATCAGACAAACCACGCCTTGTTTGTGCAAAGTTTTTTTTATTTTTCTTGTCACATACCTTTGTAGCTCAATAAAATCTGCGTAGGTGTGGCCATGGTTAAAGACAGGTGCTGGGTTTGCTCATAACTCCATGTCATAGTTAAAACAAATCAAGATTTGTAAGCCAACAACAAACCGTGGCTTCAGATTTTTAAGGTACTGGGCAAGGTTAACGCATGACCCAAAGGCATGGTCCAACCATGGATTCGCGTTAAGTGTGAACCAGCTGTGCCGCAACTGAAGAACATTTAAGAGCTTGTGAGTGGAAGAGACAAATTTGCTAGTATTCCCTCCATTATCCATTAGAGGGCAGTAGAGCAAAACAGCTTGTCTAACAGCTGTTCAAACTACAAGCAAACAGAATTTTATGCAGTATTTAATTAACACTTACTCTTTGGTTCTGCTAGTATAGAGCTGCACTGTATTGTATGTTGTATTTGGCTTTTAGTACCATGCTCCATCGAGGGCATGACAAAATATGAACAACAGCACTGACAGAAGAACATCCAGAACTGATTTATTAACAAGTGTCATTCATATTCAGCTCAGTGAGTGGAAAGTTGAAGCAACAGAAGGGCAATATGGCCCCAGAAGGACTAGGAAGTTTCACAGTCGGCCCAGCAATTGCTGGCAGAAATCAGCCATGTTCTCCAAATCATTCTCCCTTCATTACACTCTGCCCTTCATAGGGTGACACCCAACTGATTCATGGCATCCACTTCTCTCACCAGATGTAAGCATCACACAGATTAGAGGTATACTGAATGCAGCTACCGTATTTTTCGTTCTATAGGACGCACTTTTTCCCCTCCAAAAATTAAGGGGAAATGTGTGTGCGTCCTATAGAGCGAATGCAGGCTGCGCCGCTAAGCCCAAAGCCAGAACAGGGAGACGGAGCACTGCGTAGCGCTCCGTCTCGCTGTTCTAGCTTGGGGATTTCTGCGCGCACAGCCTCTCCAGGGCAGCGGGGTGCCTTCACCCCGCTGTCCTGAAGAAGCTGCAAGGCTGTTCCCAAGCCAGAACAGCGAGACGGAGCGCTCCGTCTCGCTGTTCTAGCTTGGGGATTTCTGCGCGCACAGCCTCTCCAGGGCAGCGGGGTCCCTTCACCCCGCTGTCCTGCAGAAGCTAGCAAGGCTGTTCCCAAGCCAGAACAGCGAGACGGAGGGCTCCGTCTCGCTGTTCTAGCTTGGGGATGGCTGTGCGCAGCGCTTCCCCCCACCACCAGCCCCACAAGCCTGGGTGAATGTACCTTGAACGCACCTTGTTTTAGAGGGGGAGAACAAGAAAAAAAATTTTTCCCTGTTCTCCCCCTCCTGTGGTCCGGTGCGTCCTATGGTCCGGTGCGTCCAATGGAGCGAAAAATACGGTACTTCCTAATGCCCACATTCTGTTGCATTTATTCCAAATTGAAAGAGTCCAATGCCCGCAAGTTCATGAGAAGCTGATGGCGGGCTTTTTGTTTCAATGGGTTTTTTGTTGAGTACCTGGGAGTGTATATGATTGAATATAGCAGTTTGGGAAATCTTGGGAGCCTTAATCTGGGGTACTGCCACATGATGCCCCTAGCTTAGATGGCTTTAAAATGTGATGAAACACATAATAGAATCCGAGTTGGAAGGGACCTGAGGGTCATCTAGTCCAACCCCCTGCAATGCAGGAATCTCAACTAAAGCATCCATGACAGATGGTCATCTAACCTCCAAGGAGGGTCTACAACTTCCTGAGGTAGACCGTTTCACTGCTGAACAGCTCTTACTGGCAGAAAGTTCTTCCTACTAGCACACCGAGTTGGGTGTCAACAGGACTGTACCCAAACCGAGAAACAAGAAGATATTGATATGGTCAAGTATTTCAAGGTTTAGAATAGGTGTCACCAACATGGTGCCCATGGGCCTTCCCTGGCACCAGAAGGCTTCTGACTCCCCCAAGCTGAACTTTGGCCAATGGTTGCAAGGTGTGTTTTTGTGTTGCCTGTGAGTTTCTCATTTGTAACTATAAGCAGTTGTCCCTAAAGCAACCCCCGGTTTAGAGAAATACAAATAGCTCAGTGCTGACAGAATGCCAAATCCGTTGAGGCAAATAAAGAAAATGAAGGGGCAGGGGAGAGAATGTGTGTCCTAGAAAAGGGCATAGGTAGCTGGCACTCTGGACAAGGAAATTCCACACTAGCATTCTGTTTGTGATTAAGCAGTATTGACAAATGAAACCTGCAAAGACAAGACTGACCTTTCAGATTCAGATGTAGCAGGCCAGTAAATACCAGTTGCTGAAGGGTGAGAAAGTACTAATGCCATCAGGCTGTTTGGGGGAGCCTCTGTCGGAAGCAAAATGCTTGTCTAGATGGATTCTTGGTCTGAGGCAGCAGAACTTTCATTATGAGGTTACTAGCAGGGAGTGCCCAGCCATGTCTGAGAATTTTTGGAAATCAAAAAATATCATGATTTTAAAATGGATAGTGTAATTTGTGAGTCATGTCAAAAATAAGGCGAAGTCACATCTTGGTTCACCATCTTGAATCAAAATTACATCGGCACCCAAACAATAATGAAGACCTTGAAAACCTTCATGCCATGTTTGGTGATAATATCACAGGAGATGGCCAATAAACAGGCATAGCTAACCCCAAGTCACATTTCAGTCTGCCATCTTGATTCAAAATGGTGCCTGGCACCCAACCATCGACATAGATCCCCACACCAGAAACCCTTGTGCCAAGTTTGGCAATATTAGCTCATGAGGTAGCCAAACTCATGCTAAAAAATGGGCAAAGTCACACCAAAGTGATGTTTTGGTACACTGTCTTGATTCAAAATGGCATCCAGCATCTAAATTCTGACAAGGACTGCCATTGCCACCTTGGGAATCCTTGTGTCGAGTTTGGTTATGATATTTTGAGAGGTGTGCGGTTGTATGGAAAACAAATGGACAAACCACTTTCCAAAATATATAGTAGATAATGGAACAGTTCCTAGACCTTCTATTCTTTAGCATATTTTGGATGCTTAATTGCTGGTTTTTTGAACAATGAAATTGTGAGAGAATCTTGCTGTTGACCTGTTCTGAGTACACTGATATCCATCTGCTTAATCTATGCTTGGAGGTGGCAGCTGACTCTATGAACGTGGCAAACAGCTGAGCCATAGTGAAGCCTGCTTCCACTGTAGCTATAGCAATCTAGCTTCAGATGCAGGGACATCTGGATTCTGGGAATCACATTGTTTCCAATAATAATTTCCTGCAGATCTACAAAAATGGGCCCTGCTTGCTCCAAAAAAACCAGCACAAATCAAATGCCAAGCCATGTGAATATATATCCAACAGTAGGTACACACGTTTAGGTTTCAGCAGCTGTGGACAGGCCAACTTCTCAGATTTTAAAAATTGCTGCTTTAGCATCTCAGGATACTGGCTTCTCAATCTCATAACTGCCCCATTTGTTCAAAATTCTACTTGGACCTTGTACAGTTGGTTGGTTGGTTGGTTGGTTGGTTTATAAAAATACAAAACCCATATCTATGACTCTCCTGCTTTTCTAGATTCTTGAGTCCAGCCAACTTTGCAAGGAGCAAGTGGACTTTTGAACAGCTATACATTCACATGCACACTACTCAGTCACATTCTGGCCAACACACTTATTTTATTCACTCCTTTTCCCAATTGCCCTTAAGATCTGATCTACACCTGCTGAAGAATGAGCACTCAGCACTCAGGTTACAATTGTGGGGTGTCCCCCCCTCCAAAATGTAGCACCTTGAGGAGAAGGTTCTTAAATCTTAAAAATACGAATAGTTCCTTACAACGAAGTAGCACAGTCCTCTCTACCATTTCATTTCCACTTCTCTGTTACAGATGTAAAATAGGGTTAAGTCGTTGGAATATTCAGCCAAGCAAATGGGAAGGGAACGTGTCAGTTCACTGAAGCTTGAACCCTGTGTGCCAAGGAGGTACAGAAGTGTCAGCAGCTGCACTGTGTTTACAAGATCTCCACTTAAGCTCCTTCTGGTGAGCTTAAAGTTGGGGTGAAAACTGAGAAAACTACTTTTCTGGGGGAGGGGGAGCAAATCTGCTGTTTCTGTTCAATACCTATTTTGCTTTAGGTGCTGAGTGAACAGTGACACTGTGGTTATATGCAGTTAATGAAAAACACACACACAAATCAGCCAAATGCTCATTTTTTATTATACACATTACAATGCATTTGCTACAGACTTTGCTAAAATTTACAAAAAAAGTAGGTTTCATAGTTTTTAAAAATAAACTTCTTTTTTCTTATAAATTCATAAATAGGTGACAATAAAACGTCAAAATTGACTATTGTACGCAAGCTTTGTTCCCTTGCCATCTTGCATTCCACCCCACCTGGTAAACACTGTGCTAGGAAAAGCAAGACAGTTGCCGGTGATCAGAAAGATGGGCTCTAGGCCTGTTCCCAGAAACCTTGATTATTACAAGCAATAAAACTTCTTAAAAAAATGCAGAACACTTCAGTTTACACCGGAGTTCTTCAAACCTTTTAAAGTCCTTTTTGGAATGAAGTGAATGAATTCAATATGAATCAGAACTTTCTCCCCGCTATGTATGTAAGCCAGGCCTTTTTTATGGCTAGTGGAAGCTGCATGTCCCTGGGACATGAGATTTATTTTTTTTAACCACACACCAACATCTGAGGCACTATTACAGAATAGGAAATGCCACTGACAACACAGAGCACATGAGGAACCTCCAAAGACCGTGTCAGTATTCGTCACTAAATATTTCCCTAAAAACCACTTTCAAAAGTAGTGCAGGCATTAGCTCTGTCACATTCCAGACTGTGCCAACACCACAATTGCAGACTTGCATTTCCATCTCCATCTCCAATACCTGAATTTATAGCCTTGTGCTATCTTTCTACAGATTCTGCCATCAGACTATGACCTGATGGTCAGGCTTAGTTGCCAACAGCAAAAAGTGTGATAGATAGACACACACACACAAGACAAATTTCGCTGCACTTAATAGGTATTGACACATCTCTGTATCTGCCCCCGTGGATGGGCAAACAGCTGCAGGAAGGGCATGCTTCTGAGCAGAGATGGGAGAAAGAAAAGGTTTAACTTGTCCTTCCCTATACTGCCCAAATCATTGTAAGTTATTTTAGTCAGTGTATGTAAACTGAACTAGAGATAGTATTTGGATTAACCTGCTCACATCAAAGTACTGATTCTCATAAAGATATGCGAAGTTGTCGTTAGATCTCATTAATCTCAGCAGGACTTAAAGAGCGGCCCAATACATATCACTTATTTTCCACTGGCTATAAAAACAATCCCAATCATGTATACTTAGTAGGGTCAATTGATTTCTATGGTACTTATTCCCCAGTACACATGTGTAGGATTGTAATCTTAGGCAGATTAGGGGCACTATGTTCTTCTATTACATCTCTTGTATCACTATGGATGGGGACTGGAGAACACACATCACAATGCAGTTGCACAAATAGAGCTAATTTGCACGTGGGTCCCAATGAAGTAAAACTGTGTATGGAAGGCTGGACATGCATGCATGTCTTTCTTGTGAGAGCTAAAATTTTGGGAAGGTAGGGAATAGTTCTCTAAAGCTTGAGAATCTCTCCGCCCCCTGCCCCAGGCAGAGAGCTTAAGAACAAAAACAAAAACTTCCCTACAGTTTTGTATACCACAGTACAAGCAACCAGATTTCATAAACTGCAAAATTATTAGCATCACAATAAGAGGACTGTGACCAACAGCAATATATTAAGCGCATGCACGTGTCTCACTAATGCACTTTTTATTTTCTCAAAATACAATCAAAGCAGCTAAGATAGTGTACAAGCACCATAGGCAACCATAGTATCAAACCATTCCAGATTGTCTATTTACTATACCCTGTAAATTTCTTTCCTAGTTGTACAAATTAGAAGGGATTCAGGATCGCCGTGCAGTGAGGTAGAGAGCTTACACACTGGTGCTAAATACAGAGAGGTCCCATTCCATGTTATTTCCTGGTACCCAAATTTGGGACCAAGGGGAAAGTTTTCATCCACTAAATCACACCCATAATACCCAGCATGTTTTCCTTACACTTCTCAAGTTCCAGGTTTTCCACACTTCTGACAGCTCTGCCCATCTGAGCAATTCAAAAGTTGCCGTCACCAAGTCCTTAATTCTGATGCTGCCACCTCCCTGTTTATTTTTAAAGTTGGGAATAAAAGCGCAAAGCAGAGCCATGACCGTAACAGGGCCAGAAAAACGTCAGGGAGGAGCAGGAAGAGGGAAGGAAAGGAAAGCAAACACAGATGTTGAGAGCAAGGCAGAAGGCATTTACTTCTGCTGTCGCTGCCTGGATGATCGGTTTTAAAAGTAGGGAAAGAGGATTCAGAGAAACTGGTGCTTTATCTAATATAACTCACCATTTTGTTCTGAAGCAAAGATTGTATTTATTTAGACCACCAGGGTGACTTTGCACATTTGAAAAAGAGAACAGAATGGAAGAGAAAGTAGGAACAGCTCTGCCAATTCCTCCACCTCCTCTTTCCATGAGAAACGTGCAAGTTCCTCCTTCAACATTACAGAGTTAGTGAAAAGAGCAAAAAGTGTGACGTCTCTTCCTACACTTTTAGGTAATATACAAAGTCACTCTGGCTGGATGATTGATTGTATGTGTGATGTATTACCTACTATGGTGGCCGATATTTGCTGCCATGTACATTCTGTTAGCGCACCGGTACAAATGTTTGTCAGCACAAACATTTCTGTTTGCCCGGTGGAACAATTTCCCCTCTTCTCTTCCCATACACCATCCTGCGGGTTCTCCCAACCCCCACAGGGCAAAATGAGAGGGCACAGGGAGGAGGAGACAGGGGAAAGCCCTTTTGTGGGCTTCCACTGATGGGACAAGTTAGTTGAATCTGGCCTTTTGCTTTTAAATGTCTTGTAAGTCACTTGGAGACCTTTGTGTCTAATAAAGAATAATCCAATCTCGTACTGGGTCAATGATAAACATAAGCAAGTATCTATATATATGTCCAACATTACCTAACTTCAGATGTTTTGAAAAAACACAAAAGGAAGGCACTGTACTAAATTCACATCTTAGATTAACAAATATTTGCATAGATTATGCATTAAGATGGAAATTGCCAATAGGATAGTAAGGCGGGCATCTAAAAAAAAAGCTATGCCATTTGGAAAATATTTTTGTGGACAAGTACTATGCTTATAAAAATTGTGAAATCCATAGTACTTATAAACTATATTTTCCTTGTTGTATAGCAAAATTTATATTTAATCTTGCAAGCCAGTAAAGGAAGAAAAAAAAAAGAACTACAAATAATAGTATTTTAAGGCTGATAGCTATTGCTATAAACAGAAAAGTTTTCAAAACTATGAGCTACTTTTTAAAAGTCTAGGTTATGTTCCAACTACCAGGAAACAGTTTTCAAAGATTTAGGCCATAAACTCTCCTCACAGGCTACATAATCACACATTTAATGTACTCCCTTCTAATGCAAGATTTAATGTACTCACTTCTAATGAAAGACTTCCAAGTTAATTTGGACACAAATAGAACTCTATTTTAGTAAGTGTTTGTACTTTATTTTTTAAAAAGCTCTGCTACAAAAAGAATCCAATTATAAATGGTAAAAAGCATGTCTGGTGCCATCAATTGTGAAATGTACATATGTGCTTAACTGGACAGGCAGGTTTAGTAACAGCATTTATTTTGTGCAGAAAATATGCCACAAAACATGCTTTCTATGTAACAAATGTGGCACATCTGAAGCACCCAAACCCTAATTGAGAATTGTCTTTAGTACAAATGATTATCTATTTAGTATCAGCATCAGAATCTTGCGTGTGCTCTATGTGCTGCTTCTAGCGATATCTGTGAAATCTGCCTATGCATCTACATTCTATGCTAAACTGATTTTGGCAAATGCATTTCCCTCTTCTATTGTTTTGTGTCTTTAGCATGCAAGTGTGTTTTATTCTGATCTAGCAATGTGGAATGATACAAGACTACTTCATTCATCTAAGGGAGTTGTACAATATTTTGAAAGAAAAAACTGGATTTAGGGCAAAGCAATTTGCAACTTATTTTTATATAACCTCTGACTGAACCAGACAAACTCCACAGATCATCTGCATGGTAGCTGAGGGCCAATGCACATGATCTGGGCCTGTGGCAAAACAACCAGAAGAATGCTCTTCCGCTGCCACTGCTAAAGTAAAATGTGACTTAGCTCTGAGTCTTGAGGGAAAGAAAAAAAAATCCTAGGCAGAAAAATGCATTTATTTGTAGCAAAGAATTCTTGTTTCCCAGTGTCCAAGATGGGTGATTCTTTCTATATTGTACTGGGAAGCTTCTTTTGAGAGATGCATTTTCCATCTGATTAAAAGATTTCCTACACAATAAACTTGTGGGAACCAGCTATTGGTTGTACTAAAAAGACTGAGGAAAAACAAAGTGCTTAGTTTCTTTCCAGTGATAAGAGACTGTTTTGAATGTTTTCTCACCAAGTTCCCCCATTACAAGACCAGACCCAATAGTCTAGAGATACAATCCTGAATTCTATCCTGCAGTGCATTCTGCCATCTTCCATAGGAGAGATCCCTAGGACAACTAGCACTACATGCCACTTGAGTATAAGACAAGGTCATTGTTGTCTCTGTATATGGATGCATATCTGTTCCCGCCTTCCCAACCACAGATAAGCCCCTATTACACATTCACCAATCCCCAAGTAATCATTACCACCAACTCCACCATCTCCTGGTAGGGCATCAGGTTTAAGCACTCTAGGAAGAGAGGGATATCACACAAAGAGTAGCTGCTTAGCCATCCCATCTGCTGCAACCTCATTACCACTTTTTCAATGAAACACTTGCAAGAACACACACAGATCCACAGTGATACAGGTGGCTTTGGCAGCTGCCAGTTGCTTGCACTATTCTGTTAACAGCTCATGCCCTTTTACTAGGCACTGGCTCCAAAGGGTGTGAGAACACTCTGTAAATACGAGATAGGTTCGTATTACTCTTTAAAGTTAGGTCTCAAATTTACCTACGTTAGCAAAGAAGCAACAGGCATTTGTTTGTAACAAAAGCCAGTCCCTTCACAATGTTTGGTGAGCTACAGTACAGTACAATCTTATCTGTATGACTGGCCTGGAGAAAGAACTCAACTTGTAGCAAATTCAGGGCTATTCAAGGACTACAAGAGTAGGCTCACAAGGAACCCAATTTGGAAAAAGATCCATTGTATTCTGTTCATTCACTCTCTCTACATCAGAATACAGAATGTCAGACAACACTAACAGCTGAGTTCTGTGTATTCTCAACATACTTGCTATAAAATGTGCATAGATCGGAGGCAGCAGGTCGATTCTGAAACCTTTGGTGGTCCCAGAATAATGTCTTGAACTGGGAACTTGTGACTACAATCTTGTGAGCAGAGTCCAACAGGATCCTGTTCACTTAAACCCTGGAAATCTTATATAGATCACACCCCGAATGTAGATTTAAGGATCAATTTCTAAAATCACCAGCGTCATCATCGTGGGAGCACCATCATGTCAGAATCCATCCAAAGGGATCCTAAAGATGTAATGGCATCAGTGAATCAAAGAGTTAGCTGGAGGAGACCCTTACAGCCCTCAGTTGATTTGAGACCTGGCTATGATGTAAACTTTCCTGCACAACACAGGCACATCAGTTTAGGGCTTGGCCTAAAGGGGATGGATCCAAGCCCACTAGGCACAGTTGCTAATCAGCTTCTATTCATTTAAATTATAAAACCGAAGTGCCTGGAGGACTGTACTCACAGTGTAGAAACATTTGTTTGATACCAACAATTAGTTAAGGTAATCACTGGAGTTTTCTGTAACTCCCAAATACAGTGATTAGTTACTGCCGGGCAATCAGTGCTTTTTTAATTTCTGGATGCAGTGGACCTGACGTCTCCTGGTATGACGTCCTATTTAGAAGCAAAACTTCTTTGTCACACCTCACACTGCATTTCTATGTAAAACATAGTTGTGAAAACTATCCCTAACAGAAAGTAAGGCCTCTTTATTTATAATATCTAACACACTTGAAATCAAAGCCGCTGCTCTCAAAACTACAAGCAAAAACACAACAGAACCCATTTGGGGTCCATCTTTGATTGGAAACAATGGGATGAGTTTTTTAATTAAACAAATTTTACAGTCAGTTACTTTGTAAGACAAAAACCAAAACAGACAGAAGGTGCCAAATTTTTTATAGCTATGGGTGGATTTTCTGGTTAATCATATCAATTTATAAAAATGATCTGAGATACCAAACTTATCCAGGTCTTCTCTCTTTAATGCTAATTGAAATAATCATAAATTGATGTTTTTGAATTATAATCTGAATTTACAACATGCATTTTCCTAACACAATCAGGGACTTCTGAGTGTCCAGGTGCAGGGACCTGCTTTTCAGAGACTTTGTCCTTTGCTCTGAATTGAAGGCCTTTTAATAGGTACAATACATTAAGCACTGAAAAGCTGGCTTAACAGCTTGCAGACACTTTGGAGTTGAATCCAAAGAAAAGTGCACCGAAAGTTTACTTTCCACCCCCTCTTTCTTCTGACAGCCCCCCAATCCCTGTTGTATGGAGTGGGATGTATCACAGGGGTGGGGGGAGAAAACTGTGAGGAAAGAGAAGATCCCTGAAAATCAGGTGGAGACACCTTCTGCAAGTGGGAAAGTCAGCTTCCTTTAGCCTCCGTTGATGCATTTTTTTCTCTGGTTTCAATCCTTTATTCATCCTATTTTAGTTTTAAGGTGCTAAAAAGAGGAAAAAAATTTGGGCAACATCTGCACATCTTAACTGCAGGCATAACTTTAACCTGAGACAAACATAAACTCTCCTTAAGTTAAATGTGCTGAGCAGAAACAGTCACATAGTTTCATTAATACACTGCAGACCTACAAAAAAAAAAGATATATTTTTTTCTTACAGAAACGAGAAAATACCATTTGAAAGAACGTGCTGTGGCATTGACTAATAGTGGCAGGGGCGGGGGGATCCACAAGAGAACAGGCTCAATTATTTAAAAGGGTTATCCTACAACTCACAAAATGTGTCCCACGTTGGGAGCTCCTGAGCCAATTTCTGACATGAGAGCAATTGCTTCATGATTTATAGGGGCTCCATAACATGTGTGGACTTTTAAGGAAAATTAGCAGGGATCACCTATACCTGACTGTGCAGTTTTACAGACACTTATCAATTTCTTAACAAAACTGGGCCAGACAAACTTCACGAGGAGCTGATTTCATGGCACAAAAAATAAAACAACCTTAAATAATTTATGATTTGCAATTTCCTCCACAAATTTAATATCTAAAGTTAAATAGGAAGAAGCTCTAGCTGGATGACATCCTATGGAAAAAATACTCCAGCAACAACATTAATGATCAGCATATGTAACTGAAACTAAGCTTCAATAAAAATGATTTGATGCACTGCAGCAATTAAAGAAGCAAATGGTAAAAAAACAAAAACATCATCTTTTCATAGGTATTGAATATGAATTTTAAATGAAATTAATAACACTGAATATTAGAGGTACACAATGTTATCTCCAAGAAGGGGGCTATAAAAATGTGCAAAATAAATGATGAACAAACCTTAATTTTGACATTACAATCCTAAGCCTATTTACTTGGAAGTGAGCCTGATGAATTTTCAAAGGCATTTACGTTCCAAGAAGGTTCTGTTGAAATCAGTAGGACTTCCATTCAATGAAATGTTTTTAGGATCAAGTCTTCCAAGATGGAAATAAAGAAAATAAATTAGTGACCCATGTGTTCAGTTCAGTTCTGCTCATACTGGTTTCTCTATTTGCCTGAAAAATGTGAGACAAAAAACTGTCCAGCTAGCTTTGCACCTCACCACATGCTACATTTAATGTCTAGAAAAACCTATCTTCTATGGAGGTTCCTCATATTGAACAAATGTTAGCTGATTTGTCCTATATAGGAAACTTTCAAGTATTTCATACTTGAAACGTCCCTGCAGAGAAATTGAATGACACTGTGTGCTTTCTGATTCTTTGATTCTTGGAATGCTGAGAGTTTAAAAACAGAGGCAGTGTTAAGACTCACTGACATAAAAGCAGAAGTGTCTTCTTCTGTACAAGCTCCCATGTACAGGGATTTACAACAGGTAACACAGTAATTTCTTGTTCAGACAATTTCATACAAAGAGATCCCAGTGGCTTCCTTCTGTGCAACTTAACTTTCAAATTGCACAAGTTCCTCTGAAAAGAAGGTGGTAGAGACTGCTACAGAGTAACGGCCATGGAAGGCTAACTTTTAGATCTACAAAAGAAAGCCCCTTCATATTGAAAATTAGCCTGCAAATGTTAATGTCTAACCTACAAAAATATTGGGCTTGCAGGAAAAGGATACTGCTGCTTTGTTATGCAGCATGGTGTGTGTGTGTGTGTGTGTGTGTAATTATAAGGGAAGGACAGGTACCCTCGTAATTCCAGTAAGAGTTAGAGATAACATAACCTGCATCAGCAACCACACCCCCATCCTTCCACATCCTTGCTGTCAAGTTTGATGCTGTCTGTGTTTTGCTCACTGAACATGGGGCCTCCGTGCCTCATCATTAACTCTGTTGCCATCTTTACAAAAGCCTCCTCCACGTTGCTGGAGTCCTTTGCAGAAGTCTCTATGGCACAGGTGATATCATAGTGCTCAGCCAGACTCTGAGCTTCCTCTAGCTGAACCTCCCGACGGTCACTTAGGTCAGACTTGTTTCCTAGCAGGAGAAAGCGGAATTGTTTACAGATTAATTTTGTGAATGCATCTCCTGCGGTCAGGGAAAGAGTTCAGCCATGGGAGGGAGGGGAGAGACACAATAGCAGTGACTCGTGGAAGGGTGCTTGGAAAGCAGCAGGATCGCACAGGTGAAGGAAGTAGGCTGGAGATGAGATGCCACTTATCTTGGAGATGAGAAAGAGCAGGTGAAAGTAGAAGCTGATAGAAAGTCTGTGGAGGAAGGACGAAGAAATCCGAGCCACTATAGGTTTATAACATTTTGCACTCTGGATTGTGGATTTAAAATTTCATCCTGTTTTGATGCTTAGGAAGCATTCACCTTCAACATAGTTACTTTGTCTAATTAAAGGTTCTGTGCAGCCCACACACTATAAATTCCTATACTAACGTTCATTTTCCTTATTCTGTATTTCATTGGCGGTGTTTGGACATCACAATAAACCATGGTTTGTCTTGATGAAATGAGTCTAACCTCCACCCAGGCTCATGCATTCCCCAATCCCCTCTTAGGATTCCTGCTCCGTGTTAGGAATTCCATTCCACCCTTGCTGCAGATATGTGGGATTGTTACATGTCACATGTCTGCAGCAAGGTGGAATGGAATTCCCAAAGCCCCTCCTCTGGCACAGCCACAAGTATAAGAATGAAAGCTTTCACTTCCATTTTTTATTAACTGCAGCTTATCATGTCATCCAAAGCCAGCTAACGGTGGTGAAGCTTAACTGGACAAGGTGGAAACAAGCCAGCTTCAAACCATGAAACTGGCTTGATTCAAACAATCTGTAGATGAGATTCACCACCAAGGATGTAACATTAAACTATGGTTTAAAGACAGCTTTTATCTCTGGAAGTAATATGATTCTGAATGTCTACCTACAGTGCCAGTTCTAGACTGTATATATAAACTGCAATGAAGAGTAAAATATATCCGTAACAAAGTACATTTGGCATATTGGACATAAGCTATAGTTTGTGCTATTCAGTTTAAAGCAGGGCTTTTTTTCAGGCAGAACTCAGTTCCAGCACCTCTCAGGTGGGCGCCGTTGCCATTATAAGAGAACAAAGGAGGCATTCATGGTGAGTTCCTCTTTTTCTAGAAAAACAGAACAGAGTCAAATCCCAGAGGACCCGAAGGCACAATAGTGCTTTGCTCAAATAATTCCTAGTATTTTAAAATGTATTTTTGAATTTGAAAAAGAATAAAGGCTATAGAATCCTAAACCAGTTTTTCCCAAGAGCAAACAAAAATGCATGATGTGGAAATGTGAACTGCAGTAGGAACCAAAAGCCAAAGCTTTCCAAACTCTGAGAATATATGTCTCTTCATCTCCAAGATATCCAGGAAATAAAGAAAATATCTCTGCACTGGCTGCTATTGTCCTATTAAGTAGAAGCACAGCAATTTGTATTTCTAGCTCATTCCAAAATATACCCCACACTCACCAATCAGCAATTGTACTATGTTGGAACCTGCATATTTCCTCACATCCTCGATCCAGCGAGGAATAGACTGGAAAGAGCCTCTCTTGCTAATGTCATAGGCTAGAATAGCTCCATTGGCACTTCGATAGTAACTCTGGGTGATGGTCCGAAACCGTTCTTGACCAGCTGTGTCCCAGATCTGCAACTAAAAAAATAAAGAAGTTGTTAGGTCTTACAAGATATTGGTTGCATTTCTCAGGCGATATGTCTTATCTCAACAGCGGGGGGGGGGGGGAGATACAGTGGTACCTCAGGTTACATACGCTTCAGGTTACAGACTCTGCTAACCCAGTAATAGTGCTTCAGGATAAGAACAGAAATTGTGCTCTGGCGGTGCGGTGGCAGCAGGAGGCCCCATTAGCTAAAGTGGTGCTTCAGGTTAAGAACAGTTTCAGGTTAAGAATGGACCTCCGGAACGAATTAAGTACTCAACCCGAGGTACCACTGTATTTACTACAGAAGTGTACAATTATTTTTTGTTTTAATAAAATTTTAAAATTGAGAGGAGAAATAGGTTTGGATCCCTTCCAGTCGGGATTCAGGCCTCATCATGGGACTGAAACTGCTTGGTCGCACTGGTTGATGATCTCTGGCGAGCTACGGACGAATGTGAGAACTGTTTCCTAGTTCCGCTGGATATCTCAGCGGCTTTTGACACCATCAACCATAACATCCTTCTGGACCGTCTAGAGGGGCTGGGAGCTGGGTGGACTGTTATGCAGTGGTTCTGCTCCTTCCTCCTGGGCCGTGTTCAGAAAGTGGTGGTGGGGGATGAGTGTTCAGACCCCTGGGCTCTCACTTGTGGGGTGTCTCAGGGTTCTGTCCTCTCCCCCAGGCTTTTCAACATCTACATGCAGCCACTTGGAGAGATCATCAGGGGGTTTAGACTGGGTGTTCATCAGTATGCGGATGATACCCAGCTCTACCTCTCTTTCAAATCACCAGTGAAGGCAGTGAAGGTCCTGTGTGAGTGTCTGGAGGTGGTTGGAGGATGGATGGTGGCTAACAGTTTGAGGTTGAATCCTGACAAGACAGAATTACTGTTTTTGGGGGACAGGAGGTGGGCAGGTATGGAGGACTCCCTGGTCCCGAATGGGGTAACTGTGCCCCTGAAGGACCAGGTGCGCAGCCTGAGAGTCATTTTGGATTCACAGCTGTTCAAGGAGGCGCAGGTCAATTCGGTGTCCAGGGCAGCTGTCTACCAGCTCCATCTGGTACGCAGGTTGAGACCCTACCTGCCCGCAGACTGTCCCGCCACAGTGGTGCATGCTCTAGTTATCTCTCGCTTGGACTACTGCAATACGCTCTATGTGGGGCTACCTTTGAAGGTGACCCAGAAACTACAACTAATCCAAAATGTGGCAACTAGACTGGTGATTGGGAGCGGCCGCCGAGACCACATAACACCAGTCTTGAAAGACCTACATTGGCTCCCAGTACATTTCCAAGCACTATTCAAAGTGTTGGTGCTGACCTTTAAAGCCCTAAACGGCCTCGGTCCAGTATACCTGAAGGAGCGTCTCCACCCCCTTGTTCTGCCCGGACACTGAGGTCCAGTGCCGAGGGCCTTCTGGCAGTTCCCTCGCTACGAGAAGCCAAGTTACAGGGAACCAGGCAGAGGGCTTTCTCGGTAGTGGCACCCGCCCTGTGGAATGCCCTCCCACCAGATATCAAAGAGAAAAATAACTACCAGACTTTTAGAAGACATCTGAAGGCAGCCCTGTTTAGGGAAGCTTTTAATGTTTAATAGACTATTGTATTTTAATATGTTGTTGGAAGCCGCCCAGAGTTGCTGGGGAAACCCAGCCAGATGGGCGGGGTATAAATATTAAAATATTAAATTATTATTATTATTATTATTATTATTATTATTATTATTATTGGACCATGTCCTATATAGGAAACTTTCAAGTATTTCATATGAAATGTCCCTGCAGAGAATTTGTTTTAATAATATTTTTAAACATGAGATGAGAAATGGGTATATGTGGACCATGTCTACAGATCAGAAATCTCATTTCAATCTGCCACTGTGTTTTCAAATTCTGCACACATATGGGCTGTCATTCTATTCAAACAGCTGCAGATTAGAGTTGTAGAGTTGGAAGGGATCCTCAGGGTCATCTAGTCCAACCCCCCTGCAATACAGGAATCTCAACTAACACATCCATGACAGATGCCCATCCAACATCTGCTTTAAAACGTCCAATAAAGGAGAGTCCGCCACCTCCTGAGCAAATCCATTGCACTGTCAAACAGCTCTTACTGTCAAAATATTATTCCTGAAGTCTAGTTGGAATCTCCTTTCTTGTAACAATATTTTAGGTAACCTGCTTACAAGCTATATAGGGTTTTTGTACACCAGTACTAGGACCTTGAACTTAGGCTAGTAGCTAATTGCAAGCTAATGAGATTTGTGCAAGAGTAAAGCAATAGGATGGGAATATTCTGTCCCAGTGAGCAGTGAAGTTGTTTCACTTTGCACAAGCTGCAGCTTCTTGGCAAGCCTTGAGGGCAGCCCCATATAGAGCACATTGCAGTAATCAAATTTGGAGGTTGCCAGCAAATGAATGACAGTGGTCAAGGTACCCTGGTTCTGAAACGGATGTAGCTGTCTTACCAACTGAAGCTGGTAAAAGGTACTCCTAGCCACTGAGGGACTGGGCCTCTAGCTTTGGGGGGGGGACTACAACCCTATCCAAATAAGACAATACCCACAGTGTCTCCATCTTACTATCAAACAGTCAATTAATAGTATTGATTACTATCAATACTGGCCCTCCTTCAGCCCACCACTTGGTCCAGCCACTGGTCCTGGGCTTGCATAGTTTCTCCTGATTCAAATGTTACAGAGAAGTAGAGATGGGTATCATCAGTGAACTGATGACACCGCACCCCAAATCTCCCAATGACCACTGCCAACTGCTTCATTTAGACATTAAACAGCATGAGGGACATTACAAAAGATTAGATTTTAACAAAACAAATTATCAGATAGCCCTACAGAAGGTTCATTTAATAAAATAATTAAGAAATCAATGTCCTTACAAAATATTTGCATAAGCGACACATGGGATTTTTCAAAATTCCTTGTTGTAAAATCAAGTGCTGAGCAAAGGTGAGCAAGTTACTAAAGTACACACTAATTTGAAAAGTATTCAATTTCTTCCCAATTAATATAGCTAATTTGTGGTAGATTTATGAATAGACATCTCTTCAGGGTCAAGTAACAAAACCTAGAGATGCCCCCAGCTCACACTTGACTTTGATGGGCAAATCTTGTAGCATCTGGGGTTGTACTAGCAGCCCCTGTAGTTTGCTTTCATGGACCTACCACAGCAGGCATAGGCAAACTCGGCCTCCCAGCTGTTTTGGGACTACAACTCCCACCATCCCTCGCTAACAGGACCAGTGGTCAGGGATGATGGGAATTGTAGTCTCAAAACATCTGGAGGGCCGAGTTTGCCTATGCCTGTACTACAGCATGATTTGCTGTTCATAAGAAGTGTCAAGCCACAAACTAACCAACCTTGTCAGGGTATTGCTTCAGGCATTTGCATGGGTAGAACAAAAAGATCTATTTTAGCATTCAAGATCAGGAAATCCTGCCAGATGCATGTGAAATAGAATGAGAGTTAAGTGTCAACATGGAGCAATCTGATAACTAGCTGCAATGATCCGCAAATGCTATCTCTTCTTCATTGACCTTCCTACCACAGTAACAGCTTTTTGCAGTTATCTGTTGATAAAACAAAGACTTAGAGGATGCAGAGAAGTCTTATACAGTATTCTCTCAACTTGCCTCAAGGAAGTACTTCTCATGATGACACTGCACTTTCCCAGTTCAAAGCACAAAGTTACTACTGTAAAGATGCAGGTCTTTCCACAGCTAGTAGGCCACAGTAATTTGGTTTGCTGCCTAGAACATGATAATATAAGTGCCAGCCACACTTCTGGATAATGACTGTAACATTGATGAGCAAGCAATATAAATCCTTCTTCCTGCATGCCCAAACCATATCCTGAATCTAACCACTAGCACTCAACGTCCGAAGAGGAAACTAAAATGGGAACCAAAACTGACCAGTCTCCAGACAAAAGGTGGATAAATCCCTTGTCAGTTCTTTTGTTCCATACACAAACTCAGTCTTGAGACATTAGCTGGATGGTCCAACAAAGCTAATAGAAGTTTGGCAAGTCAGAATTCCAAAGTGACTCACAGGAGAGAGGCACTTCAGGCTCTTGCCCACCAAAGCAATTATGGGGTGGGAGAAGACAACAGAAATGACTCCCATCCTGATTAATACTATATGAGGTGGGAAGTTAACCTGCCCTTCCCATGCAGTAACCCCAAAGCTTAAACATACTAGTGATAACAGCCGTGGGAGGGAGTAGGTTCAGGGGTAGTTGCAAAGCAAATGGGGGCACTGCTCATCACTGTGATGCCTGGGAGAACAGGGATGTGGATGGATTGCTCCTTGTTATTTTCTTTACTCTACAAACTATTTTGCCAATTCCCTCTCTCACATTCAGTTCCCACCCTCATTCTGTTCTGGAAGGTTGGGGGATGCTATATGTGTCATGTATTCAGTGAGACTGAAATGCATTGTGGTTAATTAACACATCAACTATCCCCACAGCCTTCTGCAGTTAAAAACACTATCCTGATTTACCTCTTAAAATAAACACCTTTAGTTTTTACTGAACAAAAGAAAACTATGGTACCCCTGTAATCAAGAAGAATGTAAATGCAGCATGCAGTATTTTTCTCAGAACACAAATTCAAGCTTATGGAAGGTTTTCAAACTTGTAAAAAACTGCCCATTTGACAATGGTTTTATGAGAGGAGTAAGCAGTCACACAGATAAGATATTGGTCCCATTTTATCTTCCTGCAACATGAGGGTCAAAGCTCCACATATGGGAAAGCTCATTTAAACCAAGCCAAGTACTGAGCTAAGAAAGTCTGAAATGTCATTTGAATTTCTCAAATGTTAGACTATCCAAACTTAGTTCAGAATACCCAAAAAACCTATGTACCATCTACTAGTGGGATCTAAAAGCAGACTATGTGTATCTAGTTTCTTCTACAGTAATGTGTAACTGCCAATCACAGGAAATTTATTTTTATTTTATGCCACATGTAAGAAGCCTTCTTTAGCTTTTCAGCTGGCACTGCTCTACTCCAAGAGCCCTTCAGAGAGACACCTGGTACTAGGTGGAGTCCCAGGAAGGAAAATATTTGCAATTCATGTGTGTGTTTGGCATATAAACTTGACCAAGCTTCAGTCTCAGAGGAAAAATGTCCCAACAGCCTTTTTCCTGGGGAAAAAGGAAAAAAGACTAAAAATATAAATGTATATTTAGGTAAAAATAAAAATAAACCTTGGGGGTGTTAATTAATGGAATCCTCTTCCAACACATAAGGTAAAGTAAAACTACCATGTTTATTAACGTTTTTCATCCACCCCAGCAGCTTACATAGCCTATATTTAAAAGTAGATACATCTACCACACAGGAAATCATGTAGGTCTCTCTCTCACACACACATACTACAGCACAGAAGGGAACTGTGGCCCTCGAAATGTTGGTGGGTTCCACTTCCCATAATCCCTGACTATTGATCACGCTGGCTGGGGCTGAAAGGAGTTGGAGTCAAGTAACATCTAAAGGGCCACAGCTTCCCCACCCCTGCGCTATAGCCTGACAATGTTAGTTAATATTCCAAGGTTGTATTTGATGAAGTTGTACTGATAGTGCAAAGAGTGTCTTGAGTTCTAATCCTGGTACGGACGCATTCTGCACTGCACAGTCATAGCAATGTCTATGGTAATAAGCATTTGCCCTTGGGAAAACAGTATCGCTCTGCTATTTGTTTCGAAACCAAGATGGCATCTGGAAAAGCATTCTATTTACTTTGCTAGTACTTTGGACAGTTTTCTAAGCCACTTTAGAAAGATGAGTTATATGATATAGCAGTTGCGCGACAAGTCTGTTGACATTTGTTGCAAGCCTATTCTTAAACCTGTTTAGCACCGTCTGAAGCACTTTTCCAAACCAGCTTAGAAAATCCTGGTGTGATGCTGAAGAAAAGGATACAGTCATAACACCAAACATATTTAAGGCTCTCTCCTATTACTTATATGCACTGTGCATTCTAGGTACTGTACATGTCACATTGTGGACAGGGAGATTCAAAAATGGTTTTTAGTGTAATCCTTTAGCTTCCATTTCTCAGTCAAAAAGGGGAAAATGGCATTTGCTGTGAGGTCTAACAATGTAAGAGGCACAAATAGCCTAAAGATATGTTAATTTTTTAGAAAGGTATTGTGTTAGCATGATTTAAAAAGGACATTAGACAGGCAAAAATAAAACCTTACATGGGGCTGAATCACGTTTAAACTGACTTGCCAGTCCCTGTGTGTGCAGCATTAGTACGTAAACACAGCAAACACATAGGCTATGGATCCTAAGTCTGTGTGTAGCAACAGAAAAAAAGAAAGAAAAGAAAAAGCTTACAGTATTACAGCACAAGCCTTTGTAGTTAGCAGCACTCAACAGATGTGTGACATGGACTGTTGGGAGCTTTATGGCTTAAAACCAAGTTAACTAGGTGATAAGAGAACACACCCTGATAATTAGAGCACTGTGTACCATATCCTGTACATTTTATTATCGCCACTGATGTGATGGTGATTTTGAAGAGTTTATGTAACATCCTTTTGAAGTTTCCTTTAGGTATGCACCAACTGAGGTTATCCTGGAGCTTCCTCATAAATAACCTTGGAAGTATTTCCAATTCATAACCAATTGCAGAAAGATATACAACATCCCTAAAGGGATTTCCATACAAGCTTATGTATACACATAAGGTTTGAAATGCACAGGGAACATTTTTCCGCAGAGCACCTTTGTACATAGCACTTTTTCAATTGTATATCCCTTTTTACAATATTATATGCCCACTCAATTGCTTCATTCTGAGGAACTGGCACTGTTACAAGTGCCACATAATCCTTGTTCAAAACTTGTAAGAAGTTGATCTTTCATTGTGGCAGCCACCCACACTTGGAGCTCCCTGCCTACTCACACGAGGCAGGTACCTTCACTATACTCTTTCCGGGGCTTCCTACAAACATTTTTATTTAGGCAAGCCAATACAGACATAAGAAGGTTGACATGTGTTTTAATATCTTATTGTTGATTTTTTTTAAAAAAGTTTTAAATACTTGTTTTTAACTTATTTTTACCGATGATTTTATTGTTGTTTTTTTGTAAACTGCTCTAAGGTTTTAGTACAATCAACTGATCTATAAATATTTTGAAATAATCAGACTTTGCACAAAACAGGAGTTACTATCTGTACTCTCGGCACATCCAGATAGGCAGTTTCCCAAGTAGTGTGCATCAATGTTCTCTACATCCCTCTGCCACAATAGGAAGTGGCCTAAGAAAATTCACTGTATATACATGACAGCAGCAAGCACCTGAGAAGCGCATCCTTGACACAAAATGGATTAAAACCATTCCTGTAGTATGCTCTTTAGATCGACCAGCAGTGTGGGCCAGGGAAGACATTGTGCATCCAACTCTGTACAGTGGTACCTTAGTTCTCAAACGCATTGGTACTCAAATGCCTTGGTTCCCAAACACCGAAAACCCGGAAGTGTCCTGTTTTTCAAACATTTTTCGGAAGCCGAACGTCTGATGCAGTTGTCAGCTTTTGTTTCCGGGGCACCTCCACCAATCAGAAGCCGCGCCTTGGTTTTCGAACATTTTGGAAGTCAAATGGACTTCTGGAACGGATTAAGTTCAAGAACCAAGGTACCAATGTATGTGTGTTATCGCACGAAGTGCACACAGTCCAAACCTTTCTGAGCTACCACACCTGATGCCCTTACCTGTTGGTCGGGGGGGGGCAAAGTTTTGTTTGTTTGAAATTAGTATAGTGAGTTTAGGGTAAAGTTCTAGCACAAACCCTTCAGCAAAGTCTGTTGGCAATGAATTCAGTGCACCTCTGTGGATGTCAGGAGGAGGACAGAGAGGTCTGGTGCCACCTAAGCCCGCCTTCCCCCACACCTGTTACCTGCCTGGCTAGTGGGGGTGGGAGGAGCAGGAAGCCCCTTCCCTTGCAAACTGGGGCGGGGGGGGGTCGTGGCGAGAGGCAGGCCAGCCAGCCCCCCCTTGCTTGTCACCCTCCCTCCTCTCACACTCGGTCCAACCCCCACCTTGACCCGCTTGCCCTGGATCTCCAAGCTCTTCATGGTGAAGTCCACGCCGATGGTGCTGCCCTGCCTCTCGGCGAAGGCCCCGGTCTTGAAGCGCTGCACCAGGCACGTCTTGCCCACGCTGGCGTCGCCGATCAGCACCAGCTTGAAGAGGAAGTCGTAGCGCTCCTCCGGGTCCGGCCCGGGGGGCGCTCCTGCCACGGGGGGACCCGGCATGGCGGCAGCGGCGGCGCTGGGGCACCTCTTGCCGCTGCTTCCTTTGGCCTCCTCAGCTCCACAGCGGCGGGGAGCTCCGCGGCGCCGGGCCCGGCCTAGCGCTGAGCTCGCCGCCCCTTGAGCGCCTGTCTGGGCCGCGACTGCGACCGCCTCAGCATCGTCCCCGGCCCCGCCAGACCGGGTGACTGGGCATGCGCAGTGGGAGCCGCAAGCTCTTCCTCATGCATTTGCCAGGAAGGGCGGGCGAGAAGGAGGGAAGCGTCGCCTCAGGTGGCGGCAGGCGGGACGAGGGGCGGGGAAACTCCGACCTGCCTTCACACTTCGCGCTGAGGGCCGGCGCAAGGCAGCGCAGGGATATCCCAGCCCGAAGCCGCGAGGGGAAGCAGCCGCCCGAGAAGGGTCGCGCCTTCAAATTTTAGGAAAAAGATTCCCTTATACTGAGGGCGGGCGGGAGGATTTGCCTACCACGTGTACGGAACCTTAAGAACACGTGTATGTGCTTAGGAGAGCCGCCCAGCCATTGGGCAGGGTGAGACTGCTGCCTTAGGCGGTACCCCGTGAGTTTTGGCCGAAATTGTGTAACGTCTTCCAATGCCTGCAAGCAGAACACTGCAGGAAGAGATCCCGGTGGAACGAATGGGCTCTACTATTAATTTTTTTTATTAAAAACAAACAAACCCAGATCCACCTTCCTTGTGTTCTGGCCTTTGCTGGGCAGCTTCATTAGTCCTTTGGATAGCCACGTGTGAACAAGCTCTTTTAAAAAGTTTCCCCCCATAAGGCAGTCCTGTTGATGTTTCCTCTGAAGACCCACTGATTATTCCCAGGTACAAGTATACATAGGCTATGTTACATAGGGATGCAGATTTAGGCTGAAATCCAATAATTTGCTTGGAGGTTAAGTCCCATTGGTATAGGTTTGCACTGTTGATCTCAGAAATAGTTGGTTCTGGAAAGCAACATGAGGCCAATTTCCATCTTCCTCATTGCTTGCCTTGTCAAAACAGAGAAGGAAAGGCAGGAGGGAATCAACTATGATAGCTGGAGACGGTCTCTTGACTTGCCATGTATGAAGAATGGTAGAATATTTTGTGAGGGCTATTTAGGTAAGTATGCCTTCCTTCTGATGTTAAGTAGTCCCATTTGAGTGGGGGGGGCACCACACTTTTTCCACTGTAAAGTTCAGTGAAGTCATAGGGTGATATTCCAGGACATTGGTTTTTTAGAAAAGAAATTAGCCCTTTTTATGGCAGTAAGAATTGTGCCCTGGGAAATATCCCATGTTTGTGGAGTGGATTCGTTTTCCCTGCTTTAATCCTTCTTGTGCTGGAGAATAAACTGTATAAAACACCACCCAAATATGCTACCTTAGGCTGTATCTTTCCCCCTCATAATAAAATCACTACTTGTACTGTTATAGCCTAAGGCAACCCATAGTTTGTGGCAGCCTAATACTATTCCACATCATCCAACTTCATTTAGTATTCCTGAACACTCAAATGAGTATGCCATTAAACTCCTCGCCAGCCCCAGATGCTGGTGTGTTCACATGACATTTTATTATGGAATCAGCGGAGATAGTACTTGTTCTTTTTCTATGCAGTCCACACAAGTGCATATTTTTTGCTCCTGAAAACTGGTTCCATTCAGAAAATAAAAGCTCATTGAGATTGATTCTGCATTCTTCTGCAGTATGTCCATTTGAAAACATGTGTAGGCAGTGCTTTTTCTAGAAAAAGAAGTGCCGGAACTCACCATGAATGCCTACTTCTTTTTCTTAGAATGGCAATGGCACCCACCCGAGAGGTGTTGGAACTCACCTGAGAGGTTCTGGAACCCACCTGAGGTGCCAGACTGAGTTCTGGTGAGCTCCCTCTGAGAATAAGTTCTGGGTGTAGGTGTTGTTCCTAGCAATGGAGGGGTGTAACTGTATCTGCCCAGTTACATATATTTGTACATATACCAAGGTTGCAATCACTACTTCCTTCTTCATTCACCTGGGGCATGGGCAAGGAGAAAAAGGCATGGATAACCTAATGAAGGTGTTTCAAATAACCACACCTATCTTTGTGGATGGTGGCATCTAAAATAAATCTAGACTGAAAGCATGTTGAGAGCAAGCATGAATGATTCTGGATTAAGGAAAGGTACATTTTTGTGATAAAAAATAGGTTAGTGTATATACAACTGCATACACACGATACAACTGCATACACACGATACATTTAAATTACATAACTTCCCTCCAAAAAATCCTGGAAACTGTAGTTTAAGTCTCACAGAGCTACAATTCCCAACACCCTTAACAAACTATAATGCAGGATTCTTTGGTGAAAGTCATGTGGTTTCATGTTGTTTAAATTCCCTGTGTTATAGGTCCTGTTCCCAATATCTGTCTACTTTATCCAGCAGATCTTCAAGCTTGGTTAAAAAGCCAGCTACAAAGCACACTGGTGAGTCAAGAAAATAAGTTTGTTAATGAGGAAATAAAATACTAATAGCGGTATGCAGTAAATTGTGCTGTTAGTTTGCATTTTGCTGATAAAATGATCAATGTCCTAACCTATGATACAATGGTACTAGGGCTGCCAATCTTTTTCTTCTAGGTAACAACATGATGTAGTTCATTGGAAAACTAAATAGATTGCTTTCATGTCAGTGATTTTAGAACTATGGACTGCATTAATCACTACTTGTGGATCAAAACAAAGGTTTGCAGCTTTCCCCTAGCATTAACAGCTTCTGCTGTTGTTCATGATAAATGTGCTGCAGTTTCCTCTGAAAGTAAACACAGCTAAGGTACAGCAATATGTGCTAATATAGTAAGCACAGAATGCAATCATCAGATTTTGATTTACTCCTTAGCAATTATCTGCAGGATTACAAACATTGTCAAAAAATGTCCTTGGGCTGTACCCAACAAAGTAGTTCCATTTAGCACAAGGACCTAAGGCTGCAAAAGGGGACTTCCCCGTCCCTCTCCTCTTCCTACCTTCCCCAATCTGTTCTTGGGGTTACCCCAACCCTTTGGTGCAGATCTGGGGAGGGCAGGAGGGGGGGATGGAGGAGAGGAGAGGAATGAAAAGTTCTGTTGCATAAATACAACACTTTGTGCTAACAAAACTAATTTGTTGGATACTGCCCCTTATTTCCCAAGCATGAATTCAATTTCATGTTAGCATCTGCCTAAGTAGCTGATATTGTTATTTGTAGATGAGCAGTGGGGATTTTGTTATTACTTGTTCTTTGAAAGCAGTTCACCACCATACCATATAATGATGTTTTTAAAATTCCCCTCTGTTTCAAACTCCTTTGGGTGGTCCACTGTGAAACAGTGACATATAAGAGACAGTGTGGTATTGTGGTTAGAGGGTTGGACTGGAACATGGGAAACCAGGGTTCAAATTTCCACTCTGATAAGGCATATTAAAACAATAGTTGTCCTGATCCAGATGTACAAGCAGAAAGAGGTAAATGCACACAAATCTCTCCTATTTTACTTTGATTAGTATGACTCATTACGTAAGCATGGAGGTAAGGGGGAGGCAACAGATATCAGTGAGTTCAATTTCCTCTTTTCTGAGCTTTTGTTTGGGGATCGGAATCAGCAAGGCTAGCATTTTCTTAGCTAAGAGATGGACAATTCCTGCCTTGCTCTTCTTGTGGTTCTCAGCAATGGTATTGCAGAATCTTGAGTTCTGATAGCATACTATTCCAAATACTTTTAAGATTATTCCGTCCCAATGATTTTCCATATTTACTTACAACAGTGACTGGAACTGGCTCTGGTTACTCAGTGATGGGAATATGTTCAGCACATGCTAAGATGGCCTTCTTATAACCTGTGTATTCTTTGTTTCATAAAGAAATAGGTTGTGAAGCTGAGCCTTGGCACAAATTAAATTCTGCAGCTGGTCAAATGACACTAAAGCATGCCAATGTAAAATTGCAGTTTTAGCACAGAGATCACCCACAATTCGTTAGCTGTAAAAAATGCTATAAATAAAATAATTTATCTGTAATTTTGGGATCTGCTGTGAATCAAAGTTCTTTGATTTTAAATTTTGCACTGTTGCTATGGTGTTTAGATAATACCACATGGCATATATTAATAACAGATTTCTTGAAAATAACATTTGCAGTTAATTTTCTATGCCTTTTCTCAATTGTTCTATTTCACTGAGTGACGTAATAAGATCCCCCACACCCCTGCTCTAAAAGCGTACAGAGTGTATCTCTACAATATACTTTCAGCGAGCAGCTGCTTTAGAATGTGTTAGAATTGACAACTTTGCCATAGTTTCATTCAAAGTGGTGTTGCCAGCTGGGAGGTATCAAAAACAAAGTTTTTGATAAGTAAGCACCACTGTGGATTTGTGTATCTATTTTCGTGGGTTAAGTTCTTTTCTGTGTTTGTGTACCTCTGGTTTGCACGTGCAAGAAAGCTATGTAAGCAGCTATAAAGCTTTGTAAGAAACTGTAGCTTGAGCACAAAGCTATGATTTGTATGTACCACACTCAGGGCTTTTTTTCCAGCAAAAACTCGCTAAAACTCAGTTTCAGCACCTCTCAAGTACCGTAAGTGCCATTGCTATGTTAAGAGAATGAGGGAGGTGATCATGGCGAGATCCAGGACCTCTTTTTCTAGAACAATAGCACCACTGACTATACTATATATGCAAAGCTAAAAGTGCTATTGTGTTTAAGCAAGTGGAAAAGGGAGTGTGAGCCTTTTGACAAATGGATAGCTACTAGGAGAAGCATATTTTTTTCCCTTTTTTAAAAAAAGATGTTTCTGGCCAAGTTTGTTTGATGTGTTCCCTGTGTATTTTTTTGCCCAATATAATAATACATTATATGAACCTTGAAACACCCCTTATTACTACCGGTATTTTTATGTAGATTTATTCATCATAATGAAATATCAGTAGTAACTCTTAAGTGTACATATGCCTACTGCAAACATTCATCCCAAGAAAAGTATTCCCTTACCAAATTTTACCTCTTAAAAAGTGACAGTTCCATGTCCTTGTCTCTTTTCTTACTAATTAAGGCAGAAGCCTTATTCTCAGTTAACTTGACATGGACAGGGCTAAAAATCCCAGAGGAGTTTAAGGGACAAACAAGATGAGGTGCCATTCACACAACTAGCAGTTATGGTAAAGACCCCTCCCCCCCAATTTGGTAA